AAATACATAATTCCAATTAATTGATTCAGGTAAAATAACAAAACCACCAGCAAAACTTGTTAAATGAGTTGAAAAACATTGAGTTTCATAATGATTTGTCAAAGGACCAACTGTTAATCCATCTGATTTCCATTGATTATTTTTATCAAGATAATAACAACCTGATGTATAAATTCTTAGTTGATAATTTGATGTAAAATTAAATCGTTGATCTGTTATTGGGAGACTACTGATAGAAGTATTCGAACATGTATTCATCATTTCCGTTGAATTTAATTCTCGTAACCCATATATAATTGATTGATGATCGGATGTTTGTTGATTATCAATAAAATATTTATACAAAGTTTCATTTGATAAATTCAAAGGACAAAATAGAGTCCAGCCATCAATATTGTTAATTGAAGTATTTAACTGAGGTAATTGAGCAAATTTATAAATAAATAAATAAGCAAGACTTATATTTAAAGGTTGAATTTCGAAATGAATTGAAATCGAAAGAGAACTTGTAATATTCAAATAATGTAAATCAAATAATTGATTATGAGGAGTATAATTCATTGATGTAACATTTTGTAAAATCATTGGTGGTATTATTATACTTGGATCTCGAGGAATAATTATTTCGATTGGATGACTCATATTTGTTTGAATAGAAATTTCATTTTCATTTTCATCTAGAATTGAAAATGTTACTAATCTTGAAAGATTTGTATATGTTGTATTATCATATGAAGCTAATGGTTCCATCATTGACTAGAGAAAACAAAATCATGAAAATTATTTTCAAAAAAACAATAATAAATTTACTCGAATTGAAATTTTAGAATTATTAGTTAAATTTAAATTTTGAGGAAATTGAATTTGTGCATTTGAAATTGTTTGAGTAAATTTATTCAACAGAAATTCATTCGCTTTTGTTTCTAACGACATAAATACTTGTGATGTATTTATCAATATATTCTGTCCAATATTTAAATAAATATTTAATGATGAAGTTAATAATGATTTGAGATCATTCATTTGATTAGTGATTTGATTTGCTAATTGTTTTTGATAATAAGTATTTCGATTTTTTTGTATTGTTCCCCAGGAAAAATCATTTCCATCAGCAAATAAATCTATAAGATTAGACAAGTGAATTATTAGTATTGTATTCATTATACTATTACTTAGATTTGACCATGCAAATTCAAGATCTGTATCATAATCAGAAGGAAATGTTGTAGCTTGTGTTGAATCTGAATCTAATACAGATATTCGTTGTTGTAATGGTCCATTTACAGCCTAGATAATTCAGAAAATGAAAGAGTTAGTTGTATTTGTGAATACATGAAAAATCTCTTTACACTGAGTAGATTAGCAGCACATTGAATGAGTTGAGTTGCTGCTGATTGAACATATTCATATGGAATATTTGTTTTTATTGAATTTAACATAATTGCCAATTGATAACATCTATCTGATACACTTTTCTTTAAGAAAAAAAGAAGAAATAAATTAAATAAATTTAAAAATTAAAATTTAACTAAAGTTGTTCGTGTTAATTGATTTGTTGCTTTCGTTAATTGTGCTAATAATGATGACTGCAATTGAATACTATATGAATTTGTTATTACAAGTTTTGTTATAAACTG